GCGATGTATTGAAATGCATTTACAGTTATGTCGCGAAATGCTTTGAAATACATTTCGCGACGCTCATGCATTGAATTTCGAGGGCGCTGAAATGCATTTCAATACATATTTTCGCTACATGAATAACCCCATTAAGAAACAAAATGAAATAAAATAATATAGAGAAAAAAACAATTGAGAAAAATTGGTAGCGAGAAAAATATCGACTGGGTTTTAAAACTTAAACAGCCATTGAAATCCTTAGTTTGTAAAATTTGACAAGATTATTTTAAAGTTCTTCATTATGTGCTTTTCGGAAATTTCGAGACTCAAAAATTCAAAAAAATCATGCCTTTCAGCCGATGCCCAACAATTTCCACAAATCATTTTTTCATAAAAAGTGAAAATATGACACAAAATGAACAATGTGACAATGAGAAGTGAACATTTTCTGTCGTAACTTTTGAAAATTTTGAAATCTGGAAATTTTCAGATTCTCAGATTCTGAAGTTTCGAAGTTCTTAGATTCCGAAATTCTGAAGTTCCAAAGTTCTGAAATTCTAATAATACTGAGATTTTCAAGCTCTGAAATTCAGGTATTCAGAAAATCTCAAAAAAATTGTACCCCCGAATCGCAAGCATTGTACCTCTAAATGAAATGAGTTTTATCCCAGAATCATTTTTAGTATGTACCTGCTTGTACCCCTGAATCATTGCGCCCTCCGAATTTTTGGCCACTTCCCCAAGCAAAGGATCCGAGAAAATGTACTAAAATGCGCAAAAATATGAACTATAAGATAGTTCGAACATGCAATTAAACATTACAAAAATTATAAAATTAATTTTTTTCGATTCATTACCACGAAAAATTTGAGCAAAAACGATGGAAAACGAAGGAAAACGGAGAAAAATCCAAAATAAAATTTTTCAGCGATGACGCCATCAATCCATGGCCGTGGCCGAGGTGGGGAGTTTTCTCTTCCATGGGAAAATTTCGAAAAATTCACAGCTCACGCTCTCCCACAGAACAATTCCGAACTGTAAATTAATTTTTGATCTACAGAAAAAAAGTTTGGCGCGATCACAATTGCAGGTCTAAAACCATAATTTCAGAATGTTTTATCTGATTTTGTGGAGTTCCAAGATGATTCAAATGATTTTTTAAAAAATAATTAATGGTTATAGATTCATGTATGGTCGTTTTCCGGAAGAAAAGATAAAATGTCAAAAATGGTCATTTTTGAAAGTTTTTTACAGAAAAAATCTATCTCCTCTTTGAGTTTTTGACATTCCTAGGAGTTATATAGCTCAAAAAAACCGCAATTATTTTCTCTACATTTTCTATGGATGAATTTTCAATTCGTCTGATAAAACTTTTTTTATAATTCAAAAACCTCATGAAATTGCACAAAATCGCATTCCTGCGTTGTTTTTTGATTATAAAAAAGTTTTATCAGACGAATTAATAAAAATTCATCCATAGAAAATGTAGAGAAAATAATTGCGGTTTTTTTGAGCTATAGAACTTTTAGAAATGTCAAAAACTGAAAGAGGAGATAGATTTTTTTTGTAAAAAACTTTCAAAAATGATCATTTTTGACATTTTTTCTTCCGGAAAACGACCATACATGAATCTATAATTATACATGAACCACTAATTATTTTTTAAAGAATCATTTGAATCATCTTGGAACTCCACAAAATCAGATAAAACATTCTGAAATTATGGTTTTAGACCTGCAATTGTGATCGCGCCAAACTTTTTTTCTGTAGATCAAAAATTAATTTACAGTTCGGAATTGTTCTGTGGGAGAGCGTGAGCTGTGAATTTTTCGAAATTTTCCCATGGAAGAGAAAACTCCCCACCTCGGCCACGGCCATGGATTGTGACGTCATCGCTGAAAAATTTTATTTTTGATTTTTCTCCGTTTTCCTTCGTTTTCCATCGTTTTTGCTCAAATTTTCGTGATAATTAATCGAAAAAAATTAATTTTATAATTTTTGTAATGTTTTATTGCTTGTGCAATCAATTTTCGAAAGAAAATAGCTCATTTTGGGCCAATTTTTGGGATTTTTGAATTTTTGTGTGTAAATCACTAAATTGTGATTGTTTCCTCCATTCAATGATCTAGAAAATTATGAAAAAAATGAGAAAAAATTCAATTACTACGAAAATTGAGAAAAAAACGAAAAATTGAGGAAAAAAGGGAAAATTGGGAAAAACCGAAGGAATATTGAGAAGCAGAAAAAAATGAAATAGAATTGAGAAAAAAAAGCAATTGAGAAAAATTGGTAGAGGAAAGTATCGACTGAGTTTTAAAACATAAATTAAGCATTAAAGTCCTGGTTTGTAAAACTTATCAAGATTTTTTTTTTGAATTTTTTTGCAATAATATTAGGAAAAAATATATTTTTTGAAACATTTTAAGGCAATAAAAATTTTTGGTCGGAGTCCCCCTTTAAAGTCCTGAGTTTGTAAAACTTGTCAAGATTATTTTACAGTTCTCCGTTGTATGCTTTCCTGAAATTTCGAGACTCAAAAATTCAAAAATTCAAAAAAAACTAATGCCTTTCAGCACAGCACAATTTCCACAATTTTTTTCATAATGAGTGAGAAATATGACACAACATCAAATAGAACAATGTGACAATGAGAAGTGAAAATTTTCTGTCGTAATTTTAAAAAATTCAAAAATATTGAGATTCTGAAGTTCTGCGATTTCGAAGTTCTGAAATTCTAACATTCTGAAATTCTCAGGCTCTGAAGTTCTGAAATTCTAAGAATTCTGAAATTTTCAAGCTCTGACATTCAGGAATTCAGAAACTCCATCAAAAAAAACTGTACCCCCGAATCACAAGCATTGTACCCCTGAATGAAATGAGTTGTAATCCCGAATCATTGTACCCCCGAACTATTGGCCGAAATTCTACCCAGTTGACCCTCCGAAATAACACCTTCGATAGTCTTCAATTGTGTTTGTTTTCCTCAAAAAACTACGAAAAAGATGTAAAAATAAAAATTCATCATATTCAGAATCATGTACTCAAATTGATCTCAATGACACCTATGAGACTATCAATGCCCCCTGGGAGCATTTGGTCCGATGCCCCCTATGAGACATGGTGGGATGCCCCCTAAAAGACAATTTCAGGATGCCCCCTATGAGTTAGTGACCCCTATGAGTGTATGCCCCCTTTGAGCACGATGCCCCCTGGGAGTATGGGCCTATTTTCGATGAGTTAAAATTTTAGTTTCATCACCAGGACCTCAAAACTATACCGAAGATAATTGCCTCAACCTAAATGTGTTTGCTCCTAGAACAAAGATTGCCGAATTTGTGAGTTATTGTACACTAGCTGTCGCATATTACGGTTTTCCAGACAAAATGCTTACCTGTGATAGTTTACTTCTATGGAGGAGGATTTGAAATCGGAGCATCCTCAACAATTGATGACTTATATGTATCCAAAACGTTACCACTCAAAGGACTGATTGTTGTAACTGCCAACTATCGTGTAGGCCCACTCGGATTTTTCACAACTGGAGATGAAGTATCGAAAGGAAATTATGGATTGTGGGATCAAACACTAGCTCTAAAATGGGTTCAAGAACACATTGCCTCGTTTGGTGGAGATCCAGATAATGTTTCTATTTTTGGAACTAGTGCAGGAGCGGCTAGTGTCGACTTTCTGGCTTTGAGTCCACATTCTAATAGTAATAAAATTAGAACCACTTGAATAAAAATGCTTTATTCAGAACTATTCCACCGCTTGATGGCCAATTCTGGATCCGCCTTCTGTGATTTTGCAATTCGTCCGAAGGAAATGCAGGCAAAAGTGTTCAGAGAGTTCGCTAAATTCCAGGGGTACACTGGAAACGGTGAGAATAGAAAATCGTCATCACGAATATTATTAGTTTTAGATTCGACAAGTCTCTTGCGCTGGTACCAAGATCAGAATCCCAAAATATTCACCGAAACTTCAAAGTTTAAAAGACCAGCTTCCGGTTTTTTATCGTTTATTCCTAATTTCGATGGTGATTTCTTCCCGAAACCATTTGATGAACTGAGGAAAATGGCTCCAAAAATGGATGTATTGGTTACTGTAACCGAGTATGAAGGATTGATAATGGGTGAGAGTCTTGGGTGTTTTGGCTAAGGAATAAGAACTATTTTCAGCGGCTTTCCAACCAAAAAATAAAACTTTCGATGAAGTGGTTTCTGAGATTTTTGCAGCGGACCGAGTAAAAGATCCCGAAGCAACAAAGAAGACAATTGTAGATTTTTACATGAAAAATGTGGATGATAACGATACAAACGCTCTCACCAAGAAAATGATAGAAGTGAGTTTCAGCACTGAATATCTAGCAAAGCTTGTTTCATTGCAGTTCATTGGAGATGCCGAGTTCAACATTGGGACACTCTATTCTGTCAGATCAAGTATAAAATATGGAAATAATGTCTATCTAGGTTCATTTGATTACTTCAACAAATACTCCGAAAATCCTGTTACCATGCTTTTCCCATTCAAAGCTGCATACCACGGATCAGATTTGAGATATATTTTGGGAGAAAGTATGGAAAAGTACAAAACAACTGAAGAAGAATTGAGCGTGATGGATATGATGGGAACTTTTGTGGCTAACTTTGCTAAATATGGGTAAGCTGAAAATGAATTTCCGATTTCAATTTGCGATTTCAGTAATCCAAATGGAAAGAATGGGCCGGAGATTTGGGAAAAGTACAGTGAAGATCATCCAGAGAGATATTTCAAAATTGATTATCCAAAAGGTGAAATGAAGGAAAACTTTCAAAATGGAAGACTGAATATCTACGACGAGATTAATAAAAATGCTATAAAATATCAAGAAATTGTCTATGGACGGAAGATTTAACTTTCGAATTTTGGATTTCGATATTTATAAAAAATTTCTGACCTCTTTTCTGATTTTGTGTTCTTGGAGAATAGGTAACTAGTTTTACAAAACCAGTGGGGTGTAAACGGGGCAGGTGGCCAGGGAATCAATGAAACAATTTCTCGCAAAAAAAGAGGTCAACTTGTTGTGATTCCTCAAAACACTATAAACGCTACATTCGATACTTTCCCTATAGACCTTCTTATCAAAAAACTATAAAACAATCACAAATTTGAACACTCTCTAAATGTCTACTCTTTCCGTATTTCGGTGTTATGTGGTTTCTGCCCTCGTATGTATATAATGCCCTCTCGGCGTGCCAGTTTGAGTGTATTCTTTATTTTCGTTTTTCTCACTCTTTTCCTCTCTTTTTTTCAATTCAATGGGTGGTTTTCTCTCGCATTTGAAACCTGAAAATAACAAGGAAGTTTTCAATTCCTCATGTGGACCCATCAGGGGAAACATTTATAGACATGTAAGTTCTAATGTCGTGAAAATTAAATTTCACCAGAAACGTTTAGGGCGAAAAGATAGTTGATGGATACCTCGGAGTTCCATTCGCGAAGGCTCCAATTGGAGAGCTTCAGTACAAAAAGCCTGTGCCAGCGGATAAATGGACGGAACCGATCGATTGCTACAAATATGGACCCGGATGTCCCCAGTCTGGCTCTTTTGCCGCTGTTAGTTACGGAATGATCTTTTTTTATTCTAATTTTACTCGTTTTCAGTTTTTCAAGGGAGTACGAGAGTTCGCTGAGGATAACTGTCTCAACTTGAATGTTTTTTCTCCTAGAACAAAACCAACAGAATTCGTATGTTTTTGTTTTGAGAAATTCCTCATTACTAAATACTTTTTTCAGTCGAAAGGTCTTCCAGTTATGGTTTATTTTTACGGCGGAGGCTTCGAAGTTGGATTCTCTTCAATGCTTGATGATTACTCTTTATCTGGAACTCTTCCACTTAAAGATGTCGTTGTTGTGTCCGCCAACTATCGTGTTGGTCCTCTTGGTTTCTTGACTACCGGAGATGAAGTATCGAAAGGAAACTATGGATTGTGGGATCAAACACTAGCTTTGAAATGGGTACAAGATCATATCGCTTCATTTGGGGGAGATCCAGATAATGTCACTATTTTCGGAACTAGTGCAGGAGGAGCTAGTGTTGATTTTCTGGCGTTGAGTCCTCATTCTAACAGTAAACATCAAATCACTCAAACAGTAAATGCCAAAATTTTATTCAGAGATGTTCCACCGCTTTATGGCTAACTCTGGATCTGCCTTCTGTGACTTTGCAATTCGTCCCAAACACTTACAAGCTAAGGTCTTCCGAGAATTCGCGAAGCATTTTGGTTACAATGGAGAAGGTAAATGATCATATGGGTTTTTACATCAGGGAATATGTTCCAGATTCACAAAGTCTTCTGAAATGGTATCAAAATCAAGAGACTGAGAAATTCACTGAAGTCGAAAATTTCAAACGACCAGCTTCCGGATTTTTGTCATTTGTACCCAATCTAGATGGAGACTTCTTCCCAAAACCTTTGGATGAGCTCAGAAAAGAAGCTCCAAAATTGGATGTCATTGTGACAGTGGGAGAATACGAGGGATTGAGTTTTAGTGAGTAGAGATGTTGGTATTCAACTACAACTTTTTGTAATTTTTAGTGATGAATGTGCCAAAAGGACAACCCTTTAACGAAACTGTCTCATTATTATTTGGGGAAGACATGGTGAATGATGTTGAAGAAAACAAAAAGAAGCTAGTTGAGCTTTATATGAAAGACGTAGACACTACAGACAAGGATGCGGTTATGAAAAGAACTGTTGAAGTAAGTAAATTCTGCATTTGATAACACTTGATTTTATTAAATTTTCAGTTTGTTGGGGACGCCTGGTTTAACATTGGTATATTGAACACTGCGAAATCCTGTGCCAAATACGGAAATAATGTATACTTGGCTTCGTTCGACTACTACTGCAAAGATGGAATCGACCCTCCTATGGCAGCAACGCTGGCTTTTAAGGCAGCCACTCACGGATCCGAGTTAAAATTCATTGTTGGAGAGGGAATGGGAAAATTCAGTCCAACTGAGGAGGAATTGAAAGTGATGGATATTATGGGGACTACGGTAACCAATTTCGCCAAATATGGGTTGGTTTGGAGTAGTAGTTTTTGAGTTAAATTGAAATTATACAGAAATCCAAACGGAAAGAATGTACCGGAAATTTGGAAGAAGTATAACGTAGATCATCCAGATAGATATTTCAAGATCGACTATCCGAAGAGTGAAATGAGAGATAATTTCCAAAATGGAAGACTAAAAGCGTTGGATGAAGTCAACAAGAGTGGGAAGAAATATCAAGAAATTGTGTATGGAAATAAATTGTAATTGTGTGTTAGTTAAATGAAAACTTTCTCTCAAAATCTGAATTTTTATTTTGTTTGGAAAATTTTGGATTTTGAAGATTTAAAAAGGGCGTTTTCGAAACGTAGAAACAAGCAGGTGAAAAGGAAAAGAACAGAAAGACCCAAGGTGTACAGAAATTAGGACAAAATCAGTTAGAAAATGAAATATAAGAGGGAATGAACAATTGATTCCATTTCAAAAATGGATTATCTAGTTCAATAGAAAATTTCGAGTGGGGGAATAGTTTTGAGAACAATTCAAGTTCAATCAATACGATGACGTAATAAAATGGGAAGACTGGGGCTCTGGCAATTCAGGGAGGGGATTCAAGATTTATACAGAGATTTTTTAGGGAGCTAGAGAATGTACTAGAAGAAACGAGGCACTAGATGGATAAACTAGAGCGTCTTGGAGATCGTGAATCACACGGTATACATATGGAGAGGGATGATTTTCATGGGGGAATGGTGATGATTTTCAAAACTTTTCAGATTTGCCAAGAGGGAGAGATGGAGAAGATAAGACCCTTATATTGAAGTGTCACAATCGGAAACTTTTCAAAAAGTGAGATTGAAGAGATCGACAAGGGTACAATTGGACCCGAATGAAAAGTGAATATGAGTGAGAAGAAGAAGACGTTCAGAAGCTGCTCCAGAATCTAGCCCACGAGGCGGCCATTGGGAAGACAAAAAGAACCCAGGATGGAGGCTTGAAAGCAGCTGACACCTCGTTTTCTTTCTGGAAAAAACATTTTGGGTTAATTTTTTTGAAAAATTGAAAAAAAAAACTTACTCTGTCTTCTGGCACTCTACTCATTGGCCGTCTCGCGTCTTCATCATCAGCCTTCACTACATTCGAATCAGCGTCGTGTGGCAATTCAACACCATCCTCAGTGGTTGTTGGCGTAGCTTCTGTGTTTGTCGTTGTTTTGTCGTGTTTTGTAGTTCTTCTCTTCTCCTCAACCTCCTCGTAATCGGCAAATCCAACTGGGACCAAATCTGAAAATGGACCAATTGAAAAATATTAAATTTTCGAAGTCTTCTTACCGTCTTCTTCATCTTCAACACCAGCGACTCGTGGATCTTGTTTGTCGGCAGATGGGAAGAGAGCATTCTGTGGAGCTGGATGGGATCCTTCATCGGCGTAGTCTCCTAGATTTGGGGTATCGTAATCAACCAATGGATTTTGTTTCAGGAATTCGGCAGTTGGAAGAAGTGGAGCCATTGGATCAACTGTAAGAATATAAAGTTTGAACTTTTCTACTCTTCATTTGCTGCAACCCCCCCCCCCATCAGCCGGACGCCGCTAGCGCCGGACCGTCTGCTTGGTTCCCTATTTGCCTATCTTTCTCTCTCTATGTCGTCCACTAATAAGTGTCTATCGGACGAAGCACACACGAGATAGGGGTCCTGACGTAATTGCTCGATGTGTTCAATTTGTGCGCGCACAGTGCCTTAGCGTCATTTCTTTATCTCTCTCTCTCTCTGAGCAAGAAAAAGTGCTATTTTGTTAGTTATTTAGTTACAAAAAACGCGCAAGAAAGAAAAGCAGAACTGATAATCCGCACGTCGTAACTTTGGAGGAAAGCCAAAAATAACAACAAACCTTCATCAGTGTTTCTGCGATCGACGAGCTTGTTGCAGAAATCGGTAAAACACATGCAGTGTTTTCCCTTTCCATCTGGCTCCAACCAGCAACCATCCTTCGACTCTTCCATTTTGCTTCCTTTCATCGCTAGAAGGCAGAAAGCTGATGCTGTTTTGTTGTCACCGGCGTCAACTGTAACTTTTGGAGACATTAAAATCGGAATATAGGAAGGATAAAGATCAGTTTTTCCTTTAATAGAAGCCCACCCAAACCGTCAATTCTGAGCTCAATTATCTCGACTCCTGTGCAAGATATCAAACATATGTCAACTGATAAAATATTTGTGATATTGTGATAAACAAGTTGTAGTTGACAGCTTTTTCATAACTTTGACAGAAACCGAGATATATGGGTTCAAAGTTGGAAGTAAGTGGCCCTTCTATTACAGGTTTTACGGTATCAGAAATGCTGTCTAGGATGAAATTTAAGGAAGTATGAAGAATCTAATTTTGTGAATTTTTCTAGTTTTAAAAATTTCAGAGCAGTTTTTAGTATTTCAGATCCAAACTAGACAATGTTAAAAATAAGAACTAAAGATATGTAAAACCTGTAATAGAATGGCCCCTCAGCTTTTGAATTTGAGCTAATTTATCTCGGTACCTGCCAAAGATATGAAAAAGTTGTCAGCTGATAAATTGTTTATCATAATATAACCAACATTTTATTAGTTGGCAAATTTTTTATATCTTTAGCACAGTTAGGAGCCCTTTCTATTACAGGTGTTACGATATTATTAGCTAGGATGAATTGCTGAAGAAGTAAAGAAAAAAACCAAAATTATGTTTTTTGAATCTATAATCATAATAATGTTTTAAATCCAAAAATTTTTCCAAAAACTTACAAATCATGCAGGCGACACCATGACACGTCCTCTCCTGATTGCATTCTTTGTGATCTGGACCCGTTCCGTAGCAGTCGAAGCATTGAATTGCAGTAGAAGTATGAAGTAAAGCGAGAACAAAGATGGCAGTGATTAGTGTCCGCGTCATTATATCTGAAACTCATACAATACTTATGATATAAGCTGCTAGGTGACAAGAGAGAATCTAAGAATCGAGACAGGATGGCACCTTTGTGGCGACTTTCTAATTTCAAACAAAAGAGGCAACTTTTTGAGGCTCGCCAGTGGAGGGCGGAGCCACGGGGCGGAACGGCTTGGTGGAAGAAGGTTTAGAAAGTGAAAATAAACACAGTCCAGCGCGGAGAGCCCCTGAGCAGCAGCAACGGGGAGCGAGAGAGCACTGATCTTTATTGGTCTGATGATGTAAGTAGCTGTGAGGTGAACGGGAAAGGAGACCTGGCGCAGCGACTCCGTGGGGTATCATAGCTGGTGAGAAGGATCATATCCTCCTACGCTCGGGCGCGCGCGAGAAAAAGAATAGTATATCTTCTTTTAGGGTGAATATCAGTTTATTTTCGGTAACTGATTGGGGGAGACAGCGAGGGATCGAATCGGAGGGAGCTAGGTGGTGGTCAATGAGGAAAGAGATATGGGGAGGAATGATGTCAGGGATGGTAGCGGAGGGTTGCAAAGGAATGATGATGGTAAATATTGAGCTTTATAGAAGTGTAATGGAATGCGGGTCGCGTGGGTTTTGATGATTCAAAATACAAAAATGTGTTCCAAACAGTACTTGCAACAGAAGCCAGACTGTGAAAATAGAAATCTAGAAATTACAGGGTTACGGTCAAACTTGTAGGCTATAGTTCTTGTCTTGCTATAGTTTCTTTTAGAATCAATAGTTTTGAATTACCGTAAAACCTGTATTAGAAGGGCCGACCCTTCTATTTTTCGTGGGGTCCCTAGGGGGGCACTTCAATTAGAGGGGGCACTTGTATTTTTCGTGAGTCGCTGAGAACGGAACTTCTATTGTAGTGACCTCATAGTTCAGAAAAAAATTTCGTTTTTCTACTTAGAATCCATTACAATTCCTTCATAAAAACAAAATGTCCAATATTGTCAAATTTTAAAAAACTGGCACCTGATTTTGCTGGCGCCGTTCGTGCCGATTTACGAGGTTTTTAAACCCAATATTGTATCGAACCAAATCAATTTCTTTGAATTTAGTGAGACTTTTCAAAATTAAATTCAGATTTCTTGGTAACATTTACGTCACTAGAATTTCTCGAATTTTTTCGCATTGAAAACTCCAAGCCTAATTGTGAAAATCGCTCAAACGAGATAAACATCTGTAATAGAGGGACGGCATTCAAATTTTCAGGTGCCAGTTTTTTAAAAATTAGACAATTATTCAATCAAAACAATAGGAAAAAACGATTGAAAACCAAAGGAGATAGTCAAAGGGGCACTTCAAATAGAGGGGCCCTTCAAATAGAGGGAGCTCTTCTATTTTTCGTGAGGTCGTTAGGGGGGGGGGCACTTCAATTAGAGGGGCTCTTCTAATACAGGTTTTACGGTAACTAACACAGATATTATAGAACACAACGAATACTACAAAATGATACTATTTGGAAAAAATGTATCATGTTTATGAACAAAGTTAGGAGCCATAAAGTAACTGGTCCGGGCACTACCTGTTTTTCCGACTACCTTATGGCTTATAACTTTGTTCATAGACAAGGTACAATTTTTCAAATAGTAGCATTTTGTAGTACTAGTCGAGCTCTATCATAATTAATTTTGGTGGTCTAAAAATATTGATTCTAAAAGAAACTATGGTAGGGCCAGGTTCACAAGTATGGTTACGGTAGATTAAACAATTGTTAACTCCCTGTTACCCTTAAGGAACAAACTTGTTTACAGTATATACAGTAAACTATAGTTGTGTTAAAACGGGTTGGTTCGAAAAACATAAATACATCAAAAAATGTAATCGGATCGGTTCAAGACGACGACGTTGACAGGCGGAAAAATTGAAAAAAGGAGAGAGAGAAAAGTGGTTTTGACTGGCTGATTCTTTTAGAAGGGTCAGGAGACTATACCCCTCCAAACAAATTAGAAATTTGATAAAACTTTCGGTCTTTGGGAGATGAGATTTTCTGTATGGAATCGAAAGAAAACGGGAAGACGATAAGGATGACTGGAAAGAAAGAAATAACTAAAGTAAAACACGGAAGTTAGAAAAACTAGTAAAATTCTGAAGACTGTATGAACCAAAGGGAATCCTAATAATAATACAAGTTATCTGAATTTCCGGAATACTGTAGAAAAATAGAAGCCCACTCAAGCCGTCACACTTAAAAGTAAATTATCTCGGTTCTCTCAAAAGATATCAAAATTTTGTCAACTGATAAAACATAATTGATATTGCGATAAAAATTTTATTAGTTGACAAACAGACACTTTCACAAGAATCGAGATAATTGAGCTTGAAATTTGACGGAAATACGGTACTTAAAAAAAAAGTTCAAAACAGAAAAACAATCTAAGAAGCACATCTTCCAAACCTCAACCGCCAACTGTCATTATCGTTGTGAAGAAGGTGATAAAGATAAATTGCGGAAAGAAGAACGAGTGATCCATCATTTCCTTTCTTTTTCTTTTTTTCTGTCTCTTTCTCCTCTCCTATTCATCTGACCTCTTGAGAATCGAGAATTTATAGTAGATGAACTGTACTAACCTATAGATGAGGCCACTAACAAATACCAGTTTGACACCAAAAATATATACCGTTAGAAAAAGAAAGATGAAGTAGATGAAAAGAAGTTTTTGGTGAGGGTGTGCGCTTGAAGAGGTTACGCCCCAGACGACCGGTTATGCAAATTTAGGTATCTCAAAAAAAGGGAAAAGTTGTCAAGAAAATTGGTTCAGAGATTAAAGGAAATGGAATACATTTTTTTTTCTACAAGTCTACTTTCCCTTGGGAAACACAGATGGGTCCAACCAGGGGTCGATCCCATGCACAGATAACCATCTGGCGCCGTCAGACTAACGGTCACGCCCTGATTTGGAGAAAGTGAAGGAGCCAGATGGAATGAGCTATACGAGCTTTGGTTAGCTAACTTTTTTCCTAATTAGAAAATGTTTAAAAAACACCTGCATTTTTTTCAGGTATTGTATCTGAGACTATTATTATCCTGGTACAAACATATTGGTGCCGTGGAAGAGAGACGCCGAAAGGTCCCATAGCGAAAACTACCGTAACCTGAAAATACTTTTCTGGATTTACTAACTTTTCTGGATTTACTAACTTTGTGGAAAAAAAAACAAAAAAAAATCGACGGAAAGCTTTTCGTCAAACACGTCTAAAATTGATAAAGTGAAAAAAAATTGACCGAAAACGAACTAGGATCGAGTTAATAAATCCGGAAAATAATAAAAACACTTTTTGTGATACGGTAGTTGTCGTTGTGGGACCCACTGCCACTTTTGTACTAGTATAAAAAAGTTAGGTGATCAAAAATCACAACTCTGCTCATTACACTCAACGAACAATATTCATTAAACAAAAAATTTCAAAATGGAGAAAAGTGGGGGAAATGTCAAAATAGGTCGTTCTAACTGCCATTCAAAACTCATTCAAACTGATTCACCACCCTTTTTATATTACTGTAATGTGCCGCGCGACGGGTCACTTTTGTTTTAATGCTTACACACATACAATATAAAGTGTTCCCTCTCGTTCTTGTCTTCTCTAAATATGATTCACTCACCTTTCTAAAAGCTTTCAGAAGAGATGACGTAGCAGCAGCCTCTGGTGTGACTTCTTCTTTTTGCCCTTTTTCTATAAGGCGAACACAGAAGAATTCGAGGTGGTGGTAATATTTATTAGGTTCTGAAAGAAAAATAGAATGTTATCGAAAAAAAGAAAAAAAATAGTGTCTACGACTTGAGCAAGAAATTAATAAGGGCTGTGTGCGCGGCGGCGCCAGGAGGAAATGAATGATATCATCTTATCAGTTGAAACAAAATGGAACGCAAACTATTTATTTCCGAGGCGAAGGGTGCAGAAAATTGACAGGTTGATGATTTAAAATACTCATTGATACGAGCGGATGAATGTTGAAATTTTTTTGAAATCGAAAATTGTTTCTCCAGGAAGTGTTCCAAAGTGACAGATATCGAATTTCTGAATGTGAGAAAAAACAGATCAACTGACAAGAGATTTCAAAAAAACTGGACTGATGAGAAGCATAACATTGCTTATCATATGACCTCCAGAGCACTACTACCATCACCTTAGAAATAGGACAACAAAGTGCTTGAAAAACCGGTAGAATCAACTGGGAGGATCAGTTGAAAAAAAGCAAATAAATAATAACGTAGGCGTCGGTGGATCCTTTGGATCCCTTCTGACCCTCAGAACAAACATGGAACACAACAAAATGACAAGAGCTCAAAAAGAGAGGAGGAAAACATATGTCTAAAAAACACATTCAGTGCCGTTTGAAGTGTAGCCGGGGTGGAGAACCAGACGTCGTGCAATCCATCAAAGCCTCGAAAGCAGTTCTTTTTTATTTCGTTTAGAAAAGTTTTTGGCAACATTTTTTGTTTTTTTCTTTTTTGGTAAAAGTATAAAGAGGGAAACAGAGAGAGAAAGACAAAAAGGAACATAGAACACAGAATGGGATTTAGCTGGGGGAAAAAGTGCGACGTCGTTTTTTTGTAGGCGTTGTGTAGGGGAAGCAAATTGGAGTTCAGATTTAAAATTCAAAATTCTGCAAAACTAAAAAAATCGGCTGATGCAAGAGTGTGGTTCTTCAAACTGGTTATTCTGTCGAGATGATAATATTCGCAGAATCAGTATAAAGACCTTGCAAGAATCAGTACAGAACCTTGCGGTATGATCTTCTTATAAGTTTTTTTTGCAATTTCCACAGGATTCAAACTGCTGTGGTATGCGGATGCGCTCTAGCGAGAAGGGCGTGGCAAAGTTTTAGGTCGATGAAACACTAATAAATTGGGAACGAGAGAATCTCAGTGCTACACAATGAGAAATAGTGAGAAATTTTTGAATTATCAAAAATTAATTTCTAGCTAACACGCCCCTTCTCATTAGAGTGTAACCGCATTACACAGAAGTTCGATTCCTGTGAAGTTCTATGGAAACTCAGAGAAAAAATTGAAGACAGAATCCCACATAAATCTTTCAAGTGCTTGTTTTTATGAACCTTGACTATTCTCCGCCTATTCAAAAATGCCTCATCTTAAACAGTTTTCCCACGGAAATAGAAGCCGAGGAGTCCTTTTGAAGAAATAGGCTATTCAATGCTCTTCTGATTGCCAAGAGAAAGTATCCCCTCCCTTTTTGTCCAGAAAACATGCAAACCTTGAATGCAGAAAAGCGTCCTGAATTCAAGAGAAAATCTCCCTTCTCGTTTTCTCTAGACCTCGTTCGGGTTATACGTCTTCTAGCCGAGCAAAAAAACTTTTTTTGTTGTGTTCGCATTTTTCTCGTTTCACAGAACCAAAGAAGCAGCAAGTGGTGGTGGTGGGTGGAAAAGAAAATACACAACACAACAAAAACTGCTTGCAACGCCATAAAAAGGGCATCATGAAGGAAAAAAAAAGCAAAAAGAGAAATGGCTTAGTGTCTGAGGGCTCATTTGTGGTGATTTTTGTAGTGTTTCAAGTATGATAAATATGTGACGTCTCGGGTGCTAGTTTGTCATGTATTTTTGAAGGAATGGAGAGGAGGGTTCATGAGCTACAGTAATCTTTTTTGGGTCATTCCATTCAAAAGCGTGGGTCAAAACATTAGGGAAAAGAAGAACTGGCAAATAGACAATTGCTATGGGAATAGTTGCTATGTGTGAATACAGTTGCTATTTCTGACACAATTGCTATTTTGACGCAATTGCTAGTTCTTATAGTTCATATTTTTGCGCATTTTAGTACATTTTCTCGGATCCTTTGCTTGGGGAAGTGGCCAAAAATTCGGAGGGCGCAATGATTCAGGGGTACAAGCAGGTACATACTAAAAATGATTCTGGGATAAAACTCATTTCATTTAGAGGTACAATGCTTGCGATTCGGGGGTACAATTTTTTTGAGATTTTCTGAATACCTGAATTTCAGAGCTTGAAAATCTCAGTATTATTAGAATTTCAGAACTTTGGAACTTCAGAATTTCGGAATCTAAGAACTTCGAAACTTCAGAATCTGAGAATCTGAAAATTTCCAGATTTCAAAATTTTCAAAAGTTACGACAGAAAATGTTCACTTCTCATTGTCACATTGTTCATTTTGTGTCATATTTTCACTTTTTATGAAAAAATGATTTGTGGAAATTGTTGGGCATCGGCTGAAAGGCATGATTTTTTTGAATTTTTGAGTCTCGAAATTTCCGAAAAGCACATAATGAAGAACTTTAAAATAATCTTGTCAAATTTTACAAACTAAGGATTTCAATGGCTGTTTAAGTTTTAAAACCCAGTCGATATTTTTCTCGCTACCAATTTTTCTCAATTGTTTTTTTCTCTATATTATTTTATTTCATTTTGTTTCTTAATGGGGTTATTCATGTAGCGAAAATATGTATTGAAATGCATTTCAGCGCCCTCGAAATTCAATGCATGAGCGTCGCGAAATGTATTTCAAAGCATTTCGCGACATAACTGTAAATGCATTTCAATACATCGCGTGGCGAGATATTTTTTCTGGACAAAGGGATGCGCCTTT